GACCTCCGACACTAAACTCTCCTCCTCTTGCATGTTTCTGCTGTCCATAGCGTTCCTTGACAGTGTCGTTTCTAAGTCACCAATTTAGTGCAACTTGGTCCCAATAGAATTTCCCATTGGGAACCTACTAGCACTAAGTTGCTAACTGGTTAGCAAGACGCTTCCGATAAACCGGCTAGAATCAAACTTGCTTGCGCACCTACCACCACAACAATCCCGCCCCTTTGATAAACGACCAATCAAATTCACTTTATTCACTCATGGAAAGTCGGGCACCACTCTGGAGAATTTGCAAACGCAACGGTTGGAACGGCTGTTTTCCTATATGCTGCTGTTTGGAAAGAAACAGGAAAATAATATCCTTTGTCAAAGTTGCAGAATGTGCCCCTTCTCTTTGGTTCTCTTTCTGTAAAATAATGTACAAAACCTAAAGCTGTTCATTCCTGTACGCTCAATGAGAAGCTTTTTATAGGTGTGACAAACTAAAAAATGAGAATTTTAATCAAATGACCAAAACACAGACTTTCAGGAGATTAATGGGATATATTACTGGTATTTTATAACATACTATGGTGATCAGAAGTCCCGATCTGTACGGGATAGTCCAGCATTTTTTACACTTCTGTCCTGCTGTCCCACAAACCAAAGCAGTGTGCAGCATTTAACTGGGTCCAATTATTAAAGAGTCTGATATATTTAAAGGCGACTTTCCTATATGGAAAGGAAGCAGAGCTGTGCTAGTGTCCAGTATCATGACCAAGCTAAGCTATTCTCTTAAAACCGAACAAGGAAAAGGTTATTTCTACAAGATATGATGGAAACTTTAGTTAAGAAAACAAATAACAGCCTCCACAAAGACTGAAGCGGTTTATAACGGGGTGGTTCTCACAGAGCTTTTAGTGAGGTTTGCCGAAGTTATATTTAGATTTGATACGAGGGGAGTGTAATGGAAAGCATCGCTGCATCCTATGTTATCAACATTTGATCTAATATCGAATAATAATAAGCAAACTTCTAAAAGTTTGAAAAAAAAAAGGAAAAGCCAATTTGCGCATTTCCATTTGTTTTGAAGCGAATCAACCAAGAACCACAAAGCGTAACGTCATCGTCCGTCATTGTCTGTATTGCATCGCCTCCTATGGCTGTATTAAACGGGAGGTAGAGGCTACAGTGTAGCACTAACCAGGAGGAAAGTTTTAATGAATGTCAGGCTAACATGTCAGCTAGTAATTGTGACGTTGCTTCAGCCATATTTGCGGCCATAATGGGAACATCCAGGAGGACGGCAAGAGCAGAAAGTGTTTCCATCTCCTGTTTTGCACATCAATTCTTTTTCATAAAGGCCAAAAACCTCATCAAGGGAGCATAAAATTTAGGAAGGTTTTTCAAATTTTGCTGTTTCCATCTAGCTTTTCTGTAGCGAAAGTTCTTCTCTGCTCAGAAACCTGTTGCTGTGGAGCGTACTTTGCAGTGTTTTCATAAAGCCATGGCTCCAACATCAACCTGCTGTAAACCTGTCTGGTGTTTTTCCTCCCAGTAGAGTTTGCCAGAAAATTGCTGTAATTTTATCATCATTTCCGGATTTAAAAGAATCTAGCAGCAGTTATGACTCTTATATAATACACTCTTTATGAACACAGTGGCCTTAGAGAAACCTAAACCTAATGCACACATAAGAATCTAAGAAAATAGGCTCTATTATTTAATTATTTGGAGAATAAACTTACAGGCCTAGTTCTTGGCAAGTTTACCCAGTATGAACACCTGCAGTGGTGTGTATAAAGCAGCATCCTGCAGTGGAATCAGGTTTTTCTTAATTTTTTTTAACCAGATTTTTCTCACCTTGACATTAAACCGCATCACATCCTGTTCTTTGCTTCAGCTGTCGGTGAAAAACTGCTTCATCCGTGGCTCTGTGGTCCGATACGTTCAGCTGCCGGCCGACGAGGTGGACACGCAGCTGCTCCAAGACGCCGCGCGGAAAGAAGCCATGCAGCAGAAGCAGTGATGGGGTCATGGATGAGATGGGGTCCAGGTTGGGGATGGCAGGAAGAGGAATGAGGCGTGACTACTTTAGGTTTTTTTTTTTTAAACATTTTATTTAAAGATGCCAGTTTAATTTCCTTTCAAATGATTCCTTATGTTTGAGATCAGTCATTCACAGAATGGTGTTTTTGGAAGGAAGACGGGGAGCCTTGATCTGAGTCTGCAGTTTTTTTGTTTTTTTATAAAACTGATATAAACTCTTTGTTTTGTCCTCTCCTGTTTAAAACTGTAGAAAAACGACCTTTTTTTTATGCCACCTACGGTTAAGGTTACACATTTTAAATTTTTTCTTTTTTATTATTTCCCTCATTAAAAAATGATCCTGCCTTTCACCTCACCATGTAGATTTTTTTTGTTGTCGATGTTGGAGAAATAAATTACCAACATCAGCTGTGACCTTGGATGGTGTTATTTTATAACTAAATGTATTTTTTTTTGGAAATAAAGATCAAAATTCATTATCTTGGTTGTTTTTGTCCAAATCAGAACTGCAGCTGAAATCTGACCTTTAGCTCCAGCATTTTACACAATAGAAGCATTCAAATATAAATGATGATTAAAATGGGGCTTTGTTCTCTAGACCAATGAACATTAATATGAATAATAATAAAATAGAGCTTTATATTTCTTTTTTTTTTTTTTACGATTCATTAAGTTTCCCATTGCACTGTTTCCATGTTTTATGCAAGCAGAGAAACATAAATGCTCATTCCTCTACATTTATCAAGCTTGGTCGGTGTCTTTGCTGTCTACAGATTTTAAGATCTGAATCTCACCCTTGATGTAATCAGATTTTGCAATCATCTCTATGGCAACAGGTGTATATAATCCATCATTTAGCATACAGACTTGCTACCAGCGCTTAAAAGAAAAGGATTGTGAATTCAAGCCTGGTTCTGTGATGGGATTCCGCCTGTGCACGATCTTCTATCTGTTCACATTCGCAGTCAACGTCACGGCAACCAGCAAAAAAGGCTTAAATCAGTGGTAAGTGGGCTTAGGGTCATATTTTTCTGACAGCGTTTCAATGCTTTTATTTTTTCAGCTGTTTTGTGGTGTAAATGTGAAATGTTCTGAGTATTTCATAATCAACTGCCTGTGGTTTTAAAACGAACCGATTGAATGTTTGATACATAAACTGAAGCATCACAAGAGGGTGATGGTGATGCTCATGGTGCGTAGAGATCACCTAATTTCTACAGGCCTTCAGGTTAGATCCAGAACAGAGAATATAGAGCATGAAGGAGTGTAAAGCATGTCACCACCTGGAGAGGTGACCAGTCTGGGTTCGGCTGTTGCCAGGAAATCTGTAATTTTTAGCAATATTGCACCTAATGTGAGGTTTGATGGAGGGCCCCTTAGTTCCAGTGGAAGGAACCATCTTTTATTTAGTCAGGTTTATATTAGAGGTGGAGAATACTGGGAATCCCAAGGTATCTGATACTGAATATACAACTGTTGACCTTTTGATGTTTTTGCGATTTTTATATTACAATTGAACAATAAAACATGAGCAAAAACAAGGTTTCAAAGTAATTTCAAACAGAAAAGGTGGAAACTAAATTAGCACACTACAACAAATATGGCCTGTTTGGCTGGCGATGAGAGGGGGAGCAGCGATGTGACACAAACAGGAAGACTTTGGTGAATCCGCTCCAGTCAGTGTGTGAAAGAGAAAAAAAAAAAGCTTTAATATAGTAAAACATGCAGGACAGGGAATAGAATAGGAATAGAAAGTACAGATACTTGTGTGAAAATGTAAAGAGTAGAAGTCAAAAATAGGTAAAAATATAAGTAATGGAGTAAAGTATAGATACCTAAAAAGTCTACTTAAGTACAGTGACGAAGTATCTGACACCTGCTAAATTATTGAGTTTCTGTGTCCAGAGATTGGCTGAAGGATCTCTGCAGCTCCTCCATATTTTCCATTGTCCTGCTGGAAGTTCTCCCTATAAATTTCCTCCTTTTCTGTTTTTTTCCTTTGCTTTCAATGCTGTTTGTCCTCTAATGTTCTCTAACAAACCCTGTGAGGCCTTCACTGAACAGCTTGATTTATACTGAGGTTAAAATACACACAGGTAGACTCTGTTTGCAGAAGTGAAAACTATCATTCTCCTGTTTCTCTGTCTTTCACTCTAATGAAAAGTCTTGAACTGAGGTAAATGTGACCCCAGATGAACATAAACATATAATTTGTCTTGTATTTTTTCGTCCCCCAGCAGCTATGACTTGGTTCTGCTGTCGCCTGTGTGGCATTATCCGTCTCTCATATCGTTCTGGAAATTATTGGCCCTCCTCATATTTTTTGCCTGAGTTCTTTGGGGTTTTATATGCATGGGTTTATGGTCCCACCCAAGACTCTTATTAAAGTTAAGGTCTGGACTTTGAACGGGTTATTGAAGCAGCTTCTAACTTCTCTCTCTCTCTTTTTTTTTATGCATTCTGTTGTAAACGTGCTGCTGTTTGAGATCACAGTTTCCAGCTATCAGAGTGATGGCTTCAGATTTAATTAGAAAACGTTGCATAAGGAGTTCATGGTGCACTCCTTGACTGCAATAGTGCTCAAATCACCACTCCTCCATCCCCTTCATTTAACGCTGTAGTTTCTTCAGATTCTACTTTGGAATTATAAGCCAGACTGCCATGTTCTTTTTTATGGAAACGAGACGTCCTGGATCTCCATCCAAACAATTCCTTTTTTCTAAACTTGGTGCATTTTTAAGGTCTGAGGTCCCTTTTCCTTCACACACTGACTGGTGTCGATGATCCAAGGTTGTGTTTTCTGAATCCTTGCTACAAAATTGTTTTTATTATTTATCTAAATCACCAGACACTCACAGTCCAGCTCCTATATTGGGAGGAAATCTCTAGGAATGTCTGCTCTTTGAAAAACTGTCCTCTATGTTTCATGTTTTCCACTTTTTTCTCCTTTTTATCCTTAAAGACACCAAATGGTTTGGAAGAACAAAAAACAGATTCCTGTCTGGAACTCCTTGCCATTGTGTAAAATTAAAATCAGTCTTTGTTCAAATGTTTTATCTATTATTTGTCAAACCCTTATTTAAAAGTTGTGATGCATTTAAAGCTGACCTGTTTTTTGTATTGTAGTCTTTTCCTAAGGCGCATAATAAGTTGTGTTATGAGGAAGGATATTTCTTTCACATGACTGTATATCTTCTATTTTCTTCCCTAGCTGTCACACAAGGTTGCTGCAATGTTTATCCGCCTCGTATCTGCCGCTCGTTTTGATGGTTTTATTATCAGGAAGTAGATTTCCAGAGGAATGTCAGATGTGCTGATAGAGGGGAAGGATCTGCAGTTTTCCCACAGTGCTGATGATAAGATCAAGTAGCAGAGCAGGATCCGCTCCTGGTACTGGTCCGGTTTTACAACATGACAACCATAATAGACAGATTTAAATCTGGGAGTCTGAAAGCTGTTGGATTGAACAACATTACGTTACATTTAGCATTATATAATCTCTAAATAAAACATAAAAAAACAGATTTTTAATTAAATAGTTTTTTTCTTTTTGTATTATTATTTCTTTACTGTACTTATTTTGTAACGTGGTGCAAAACATGACTGCTATGTTTGTCCAAACTCCCCCTATTAGTAAGTCTCTCCTCTTTCTGTGTTGTTTCCTCTTTACGCCATTAGGGGACAGCAGACAATACACATCAAAAGTCAAGCATTTAACCTTTATATAGTCAAATGTATTTCTAATTATAATAACACATTTATTCTTTTTAAATCAATATTTTTGTTTTAAAAAGTTGTGAATTCATGAAAGAAAAAGTCTGAATTGTTGTTAGAAAAAACTGGAGCCCAAACTGAGTTTAAACCAGTAACTGGAGCTTCTGTTGGTTTGAGTAATTCTGGTTATCTTTTAACTGTGGAATGAATGGAAGAACTGACCAGAATAGTGTTCACAATAAAAGCCGTACTGTGCCTGATGAGGAATTACCCATAAAACTGAAGCATTGTGGCAAAAAAGACCAAACACAAACTAAATCCATGCTCTTTGCTTGATTTTATGTTTTCTGTTACTTTATATTTTCCTTTTTTTTCCAGCTTAGATTAGAAATCAACCGTATGTTGTCCACTGGATTAGGCAACACATTTGCAGAAAAGTATTAACACCCCTTAACTTTGAATATATGAAAACATCAGAGCCACACACTTCTTTGTTTTTCTTCTGGGATTTTTTTATATCTAATCCCAAAGTAGTTCATATTTGGACCAGTAGATAGATAAGTCAAGTAAAGTAAAGACAATGTAGCATGCATCCCTCTAAGATAAGTGCAGCTCAGATTTAGACTTAACTTTATTCATCCCTTGAGATTGCTCCTTCAGGGAAATTCTGGTTCCAGTAGCTTATATAGAGTACAAAGATTTAAAGCAAGATGCCATCATAGACTACAGTAAAGCAGCGCTCTGTGTCACATGACTCATTCAGAGACAGATTTGACCCTGTCAAAGTACAGCAATATGTGCTGAATAATGACCTGAAAAACCATTCGACTAGACATGCACTGCTCCATTTTTTTACACTCTGATACTAATACATCCGCTACTGATCCGATACGACTGTTGGATCAATTAACAGCATACCTATCCCTGTGAATAAAGGCATCATGCTTGACTAAAACATTTTGATAAAAAGTCACTAAATTGGCCTAACTGTATTACTGTTTATATTATTGATGGGAATAGAAATGACTGGATCGGAATGCTGGATCAGAGTCATTCATCCGATATCTATAGCAGCATATTAGTCGATATCGGAGCGGATATCCAATCCGAGTACCGGATGATTCGGATCGGTGTATCTCTGCATTTAACCCCTAATAGACAGGGGAAGATAATTAGCTTCCTACCAGTTCAAAAATAAAAATGTGGTTTATTATTTACCTCTGGTTCTCAGGTAACCATACAATCTGCTTTTTTGTAATTTAGTTGTTGGGAAAGTGAACGAATCATTCACATTCCCAGCCTCATGGTTCATAAGGGCAAGGATGTGTTTTGACAGCTAGTGGAAATTGTCTGATAAACTCAGTTAAGTTTGGTTGAACAATAAAATAATAAATGCAGCCTTATTTTCTAAATCTGACATCTGATATATAAGAATGGACATCTGACCAAAATTTAAAAAGATATTTCTTATTTTTTGTTTGGAAATATAAGACAATACAATAACAACAGATAAAAACAGGTTTAAAAAAAAAAAAATATATATATATATATATATATATATATATATATATATATATAAAAAGGAAAAACTTGAGTCTAGCCATTGAGTTAGGCCGCATATGATAAGATGAACAAGTGGGTGTTCAGCTTGGCTTAAAAAAAAAGGCTTGCTGAATGTCAAGAGGGAAATTGTTCCACAAAGATAGGGGACGAACGGAAAAGCAATCCCCCCTAGAGATTTCCCTTTAGCCTTAGGAACTTTTAGAATGACTTGAGTTCAAGGAGCACAAGGTTGAATGTCAAGATGCAAAGTAAGTACATTTAAAACGCTCAAATGATAGGAAAGTCATGTTTGTTTAAAAAAAAAATCACTGCTTTAAGTTAATTCATGTCTCATCAGAGCAAAGAAAACCGAGATACAAATTTTTGTCATTCCTTGCAAGCCTATTCTCACTAATTAGCATCATACCTTAATTTACACTGAATATAGATGCAATGCTCACACTGATAACCTCTATTTATTCTAATATAAACACAACTATAAACCTTTTTATAGTAGAGGGGTAAATATTTCCAATTAAGCTAATTCTTGGGTCAAAAATTACACAGGTTTGCTTTTAAGTCTTATTTAGTAAAAGGTTTAAGTGTGTAATTTTAACTCGGCATCAGTTCATCAAATGTGCCACACTGAAGAAACGCTCAGTGATCTAAAACTGGCTTTTGAAGGGCTCTGAACCCCAGGATAACTCTAGAGAAGCTGCAGAAATCCACAACTCAGGTGGAAAAATCTTTATTAGTCGTGCAACCCCCAGATCCGGTCAACAGAGAGGAAACTTGAGCTGAAGCTCCCAGAGGGAACAATAACGACAAACTCTTGTTTCAATACATAGAAATCCAGTACCTTTATTTTACATTCATACATTTATAACATTGTACAACAATTTTAATGCAGTTTAAAAAAAGAAACCCAATCTAAAAAAAAAAAATCTTGCAGATTTACAATGATAAAGTTTCCTGTTACAGAGAAGTATTTAGAAATATATATACACACACACACACACCCACACAGGGAACTAGGACGAGTGATGTCCTTGAGTTGTACCTTTTAATAGAGCTGCTCTGAATGGAGCAGCGTAGAGAAAGGCACATTGAATACACAGTGTATCTACAAATAAAAATAAAAAAAGCTTCAACATCGACACAAGTTTACGGTAGGATCGGGAACAGAGAGAAAAAACTGTAAACTTTCACTTATGAAAAAACAAACAAACAAACAAATAAACAAAACCAAAAGTCATATCTGTACAAACACATCTGGAGCCAAAAAAAAGAAACATAAACAAGTTTTTTTGCTGTTTTTTTTTTTTTTTTTTTTTTTCTTCTTGGTCATTACAAAGCAGTACCCAGAATTCAACGCTTTAGATTGGCTCCGCCAGCAGAGAGCAATCTCACAGACAGAACACTAAATCATGTCACAATATTTACGTGGTCTGCCCGACGAACGGTAAGAAACACCACATGCATAACTTGTTGAGAAGGCGGCAGCCATCCCGTTACGTTTTTAAACTGAACCCGAACGCTCCCCACCATCCCGCCTTTTACTCCTACACGTCTGTACACACATTTAAAAATGTCTAGACAAATTTATATAGCCACAAAGCCTGTTTTTTTTTTCTTAAAATATATGTACCACCTGTCAAAATTGTCAATACTTTCAGAAAAGTAAGTCCTCTGATATAAAATACTGTATTTTCAGAAAAAACAAATTGTTTTTTTTACATTTTGTCCTTCTCAACAAAATAAAGCTTTATATACGTACCTTCAAAGCTTAAAAACACTCCCAACATACATACATATATATATATTTAGATCTATATATGACCATAAAGTGACTAAGATGCCACAAGTGGCTCTATGATCACATGTAGTGGAAACCCGTTTAGAATGGCAAACAGCCAATTTAATTGTCTGAAGAACACAGTGTGGCACTACAATTTTGGATGATTGTACACGTTTGAAAAAAGAGGGGGGGTGGTCATTAAATTCCAGGATCCAAGGTGACGGTTTTGCTCTTTGAGCGTAGCTTAGCTTAGCATGCCTTAGTCAGGTCGGTTGGCATTTCCGCAGTGGACATGCGGTACTGGATCTTGGTGTTCGTGATGGCGCCGTGCTTCTGTCGCAGATGCAGTCGCAGCTGGCTCTTGTGGCGGAAGTGCAAGTTGCATTTTTCACACTGAACAGAAGAAATTGACACACTTTAGTAAGGAAACTTATTCTGAGGAGTAAAACTCGTTGACTGATGCGGGATATGATGAGTTTAACCTACATGGTAGGGCTTCTCTCCCGTGTGGATGCGCAGGTGGCTCTTCAGAGTCTGCAGGTGACGGAAGCGCGTTCCGCAGATCTCGCACGGGTATGGCTTCTCCCCGGTGTGGATCAGTACGTGGGCACGAAGATGAGCGACCTGAGACACAAAGAGATGGCTTTTTGAAGCCCATGCTGACGAGAGGCAGAATGCCTTGGCTGTGGATGAGGGCTGAAAGTTACCTGTACAAAACGAGCTCCGCACGTCTCACATTTGTATGGCTTCTCTCCTGAGTGGATGCGGGTGTGAGTTTTGAGGTTAGCTGGTCTGTTAAACTGAGCACCACAGATATTACAGCGGTACGGCTTCTCTCCTGAAAAACAGGGTGAAGTTGTTTTAGACCTCGACAACAATAGTTCACATAATATTAGGGCAAGAGATGTTTTTAGGTTATTTACCTGTGTGGACGGTCTTGTGACTGGCTAGGTTGCCCTTGTATCGGAAAGCTGCCTGACAGCGGTCACACTTGTATGGCTTGTCGCTGTGGACTTGAAGCATGTGCTGCTTCAGAGATTCGTCGTCGGCAAACTTGGAGTCACACTCGTTACAGAAGAACGTACCGTTTTCTGGTGGTGGAGGAATTGGAGAGGTCAGAGGTGGTCGGTTTCCAGGCATGACCGTTTCTAACACCATGAGAAAAACTGAACTCACCACAGCTGGAGTCGGAATACTCAGAGTGAAGCTCGGCCATTTCTTCGGACAGGCGGGACCTGGGGTTGTTGGGACAGACGCTGGAGTGCTGGGGGGACTGGGAACCGCAGGTGGAGCAGCTGAGGCGGTTCAGGTAGTGGGAAGCGTGGCTGTCACCGTTCCTTAATGAGCCCTCGAGCGCACTGGAAAGTAAATGCAAAGACATACACTCAGCCTTCCACCATCATTTAGAGGATAGAAAACATTGTTCCTTAAACAGAACCAACGTTCTTTCATCTTAGAGGCTCTCACCTGTTGATGATGTTGTTGAGACGGCTGGCCTGTGGAACAGGTAGGTCCTCGCTGTGATCGCTGCTCTTACTGGTGGTTTGAGCATCAAGGCTCTCAGAGTCACCTGGGTGAATATAGGACTGCATGCCTAGGCGCTGAGGAGAGCGAAGCCCCGCCTCGTCCTCTTTCGCGCTCTGGTTCAGCACAATGAACTTGTACTTCTTCCAGTTGCGAGCCTTGGGGTCCGGCGTACCCTGCGCTCCTTGCCCTCCACCAATGTGGGATAGGCTGGCATTCTTGCTACTGCTGGACTCTGTTGGTGAGTTGGGCTGACAGTCTGATTTTAGGGGGCTTTGGGGGCTGCTCATGAGGCTCTTGCGTCCAGTGGAGGAGATTCCCAAAGGATAGTGCTGATGGATGAGGTCGTCCTCCGCCTGAGAAGCGTGCTCTTTGCTCAAGTCTTTCTGGTGCTCAAGGTTTAGCACGGGGAACGCACGTTTCCTTGAGCTGAACCCGATGGGCTGGCTCTCGTGGCCCTCCTTCCTCATCTCGTCGTCTCTCCCCATCTCCCTGGAAGCGAAGGTAGTAGAGTGAATAATACCAGAGGAGCTGGTGCTGAGCGCCCTGGCGTAGTCCGCCCTGAGGCCGTTGGTGCCGTCGTGTGGAGGACAGTGTTTGTGGTGAATCCCACTCTTTGAAAGGTCAGCAAAAGCATTTTTGGTATCAGTCAGCTTGCAGAGCGGGAACGGGAATCCCGGCATGGGAAACTGCCCATAGAGGTGGTAGTTACTGGGGCTGCTGACGCTGCTGAACATGTTTGTGGCATAGGGCCTTCCGTCCCTGAACGGACCCAGGCGGCTGTGCAAACTGTCAACAACATCGTGTGGGCGGTACGCATGGACGTCCTGCGGCAAAACCAATGGACTGACCAAAAACTCATCTCTGGGCAGCTTGGCAGACGGATCGCTGTGCAGGGAATGAGAGGGTTATGAGCACACAGACACTGATAATCCACGGATATACACAGAAATGTCATGGCAGTTGGTTCTACCGACCTGGATTTGATAAATCTGTGGCAAGTGTCCACGACGTGGTCCATCTGCAAATAGATGGCTGTATTCATGATTGACATGATGAGACTTTCCTTTAGTGTGAGTCGGGAAGTGTACATGAACTCCAGCAAGATGGCAAAACCCTCTGGGTCCACCTTCGGGTCCAGACTGATGGCATTAAGATTGCACTTGTGGGAGTCAGTGAAGATAGTGTAAAACAGCCCACTGCAAACAAAAATGATGTACAGATAGGGTTAGTTTAGACCAACATCGTAATAGAAATATGTGCTTTAAAATGCAAGAACAAATTTGCACACCTGCAAGCCATGAGAACAGTCTTATGTGCACGAAACTGCTGCCTGTTGACCAGGATGGTAACATCTGTGAGGATGTCCCTGCTGCGCAGCCGGTTCAGATTGAGGAGGACATCACTGGCATGACGCGTAAACTGTATGCAGCTGTCTGCTGCACAAGCCATTTTTTCAAGTTCTGCCAAGAGGAAAAAAAGAAGAAAAAAGTTTGTTTGTTTTTTTTGTTAAAAAAGAAGAAAAAAAATCAGCAAGTTCTGTTTACTATGTACCAGACTCTAGGGATCTGATCCAGGGTAAGTGAGCTCTATTCGTTATTCAACATCCCATAAAAAAAATAATACGCTGTCACCAGAAGGCGGCGCCATTTATTAAAACAACAATCACACATTTTAATTTCTGATCTTTGAATCATTTCTCTCCTGCTCACTTTCTCCCGGGAAACACTGAAAACTTCACAGTACACTTCAAAATAGATCAAATCACAAGATAAATCGCAAAATTACAAAGTACATTTACTAAAACGAAAATTGACATTTTTTTTTTTTTGAAATGTAGAACTTAAGCCTAACTAAATAAAAACCGAACCAAGCGATCACTACTTAAGACAAAACGCAGCGAAAGTTTTCAGTTTTCAAACTATATGATCAATTTGAATCCTTTTTTAAGCCTCTGGACACACAAACACACACAAAATATACATATTTCGATTTAAACCGCGAGATGTCAACACCATGACGAGGATGAAATGAGGCGCTGCAGGTGGCAAGTGTGAAACAGCATCAGTTTGTTGATGGTGTGAAGTTCGCTCAAAGTGCTTTTAGGGTATTTCAGGGTCAATGTCTTCATCAAAGTGAAAACTAGTAGAAACTAAACTAACTTTGAAGCACAGCGGTGTCATTAAGGCAGGTGTCAGAAATGAAGCGAGTAACTGGAGCCGTACGAAAATAGAAGCAGCGCAGCTCGCACTGACCAATGGATAAAATAAGAACACTTTAACTAGTCTGTGAACACGCACAATTAGGCTGTCGGTAAAATTTAAATAGTGCACATTTTAGTCAGCAAACTTTTTTTTTTTTTTTTTACTTTCGCCATGATTCTCGTTTTATCCAGCAAAAGTACAGAGCCAGTAAACGAAACTGAGGGTCTCTGCGTGTAAAGCGTTCTGTGTGACACCTTAAACTTGTCAAACAGCGCGCTGTCACAGTGGAAAAAAAAAAAATAAAGAGACAACTTGTAGCTTCTACCGCGGAAAAAACACGCACACCCCTCAACAGTAACATTTCCGCTGCTGTGTTATTACGGTAACTGGAGGGGTTTGTTCTGGGCAGCTCTTTGCGCTCCATTAGAGCAAATTACCGCGGCTGCTGCTGACTAAAAAAAATAAAAAATATATATATTATAAATATAAGGCGAATGTGCGGTTGCCACGCTGTCTGTAGGGTTGGCGTGACAACGCGCGCGCGCTTGCTTGTCGTCCCTCTCGTGTTTTGACACTTGAACGGAACAAAGTGGGCATTTAATCACTGACACTCCGAGGCACCGTGGGCTGCGAGCCGAACTCAGCGCTCCCATACCCCCCCTCCACCTCCTCAATCTCTCACTCGGTGCAACCGGAGCGTTATTACTCCGCTACACAGCAGGACCGACTGTTACAGTCGTTAACCGTTCGAAACTGCGCTCCTCCGGCCGGCTCCGCGCGGAGGCAGCCGGGCTGTCAGAGACGCAGAGAGAGGGAGGCGGCGCTCCGGCTGTCAGCAGCAGCAGGAGCCTCCTTCTCCTCTCCGTCTCCGGAGTTTCGACTCTTCACTCTCTGACATTCGCAGCCCGGGCCGGCTTCAACATAAACACCCAAGCAGACATACAAACAAAAATAACAAAACGTCCTAAAATATAAACAAGCAACACAACAGATAAAAAAGCTTCGCGCCAAATTAAAGGAAAAAATGGAATTTAAAAAATCACCTGGTAGCGCTTTCCTAGAAACTTCTTGCATCACCACTTCTAAGAACCCCTGTTCTAAGAATCAGAGGAGCACAATTCTCGGAATTTGAGCCTGAGACCGTACCACTCTGCCGGCGCAGGGGAGAGACGCCTCCTTCTAAAGTTTTTAAATCGAGCACCTTCTAAAGCGCTGTTTCAGGCGTGAACGGCGCCTGGGTGTTTTTACAATAAAAATATATCACTTTAAACGTTCAAAGGAGCGATAAAATGTGTATAGTTAACGAAAATAACGAAGTCAAAAGCTGCTCTGGGAGCAAGATCCCCCTGCTTTTGGTTCGACCCGGACAGTCACAGGACGGAGAGCTGGCGACGTCACCGTCTTCAGAAAACCAGCCCCCGAAATTCTCAGAACTAATTTATATTCTGTGACTTAAACGGCGCGCGGTGCCGCTGCCTCCCGTCGCATTTAACACACATACAGTCCATACATGAGCTTCGCAGAGACAGACCTCTAAATTAGGTCCATGCGGACAGGTCGATCTCACTGTCTTGCTTTGGGCTCTGATCATTTTGTAGGCGCATTTCCCTGCGGGTATGTTAACTTCATGCCGTCGGTGGGGAAGGCTGGAGGGGTTGGGGGGGATTTACTTTTCCTCTAAGGTATTGAGCATTCGGATGGAATTCTGTTTTTATTTTATTTATTTCTCTCTGCGCACGGTTTGAACTGCCACTTTAGCTCTGTTTTATTTCTATTTATTTTATTATTATTTATTCTCATACGCGTATAACTGTTTTGTAACGATCTTAGGTGTCTTAGTTTTTTTTCCTAGAGCTTTAGGCTATTTGCACAAAAGGCGTGCATTTAAAAACAAGGAAAAACAAAAAAAGTAAGATTATTTTATTTCTGTGAAGGCATTGCAGTAAAAAACTTTAAGTATGGGACCTCAGAGGAGTGCATGCGTTCAACTCCAAGCTGTAAATCAGTTAATGTTTAAAATGCTGTGGGACATGTTGTAGACATTGTAAAAAGAATGTAATGTCAAGGTCAAGAGTGTATCCTTTTGGTGCTTAAACCTCTAGTTGCTCAATTTGTTCTGACTTCAGTTTATCTGATTAGATTGATGTGAAAGTTCAGAAGAAATACAAAAAATAATAAGTGCATGTATTGTTTTTTTCTTTTTCTTTTTTTTAAGGCATGTGGCATCAGAATAAACCGTCATTTTCCCCCCAATCTATTTGTTTTCTTTCTTTTGCAGCTTTGTGGTGTTTTGTTGGTTTCATTTCTTGTCTGAAAGTGTCACCATCCAGACACTGGCATCGAGGACTCTGTGGTTTTTGTTTCATCCCTGCATGTGGAAGGGAGGACTGGTGTGAAGTTGTGCGTCGTTTACAGGCTTGATAGGCAAGCCTCTGAATCTCGATTACGAGATGCAAACAGGCAGCCCTCTCAGAGTTGCATTCATTTCTCGACATGTGGGCACACACTTACTGTCAGTGACTCACCTTGGAAGCTTTGTTTGTGGTGATTCCAAACCATGGATTCTCCTTCTTTTCTCATTCCGTTCACTCCTTGGCAAAGGAGGAGCATTTGCTGGGCTATGGAATGAGAAATAAAAATGAACTTAATCATTTCAGGAATTCTTTTAAAATAAACCATAAAAGATCACACTTGTTTAATTATCACAAATGCATCTTTTACCCCTTTAAAAACTGCATTTATTTGATATGAATAAGTTAGATGGTGGCCAGCATCGGTTCAGAATAATGTAATCATATATGATGGTAAAGTTTCTTACTATAAATCTTTTATAAAATATCTGTAAAGTAAAAAGCATGTTCTGAAATATTTAAATGCAACTGTTATTTTTCCTCTTAACAATATATATAAATGAAAGCCTGGTAAATTAAATAGGATGTTGCAAATGCCTTTATTGTTTTAGCTTTCTGCTGAAAAAGTCAAATTTTAAAGCTAAAGTAACATTGTTTTCTTTTATTGCTTTTCTCCTTTTTCTCTGTTGTCTTTCTGCTTGGCTGGGGGAGAAAAGTGTAGGTGGCCTTATTTTGAGCCAGCTGGCCTCCAGTGTGCAGGGAGAGGTTTGTAGAGCTTGTTCTATTTTTATGCTCTGTATACAGGCATGTAAACTCTGTTCACTCTGGCTGTTTTGCTGAGGTTTCATTAAAAGGACTTTGAACTGTAGAAGCGATAAGATGTAACTTTTTTTTTTTAAAGAGTTTAATACCAACCATGAGTACATTTTTTTTTTACTTTTCAAAAGAGTCTTTAAATTGGTTTTAGAAGAAATCTTTTTTTAACATTGGAATTTTTTTTATAGTTTGGAGGAGATTTCAATAAATTCACTTTCCTCATCTTTCCGTAGGTTTGGTGGGATCTTAGCCCCCTCCCAACCGCCGCTTCAGCAAGTGTGACATTTCCCAGCGGATTGCATGTGCCCGTCTGCAGCCGGAATCCCTCTAAAAAACACTTCAGGTGTTCACAAACCAGACTGGGGGGGTGGGTGTCTCTGAAATAATTAAGACGAACGCCTTTACTGCAATCTCCTATTCAGCACTGCCAAATAAAGACAGTATTGAGCTCCAAACAAAGAGCAGCGTCAACTTTATTCCAACCCACTTGGGGGATGTTTAAGGCGCTCCAGCACAGTTTTATGCATAATGCACGGCCATAAACCATCCAGGAGTTAAGAGGGAGATGTGTAATTTACTAAGGCCTCATGCTGTGCCACTGCTATAAAGGGAGGAGATAATTACCACAAATCCGTGGCAAACTTTTATTTAACCAATTTCTTCAAAAAAAGTGACCCACTTTGAGAGGGAGCTGATCAATATGACCCCGTCTGAAACGACTCAGGCTACCTTATCACACTGAAGGCTGTGCACAGCTTAATCCTCCTGATCTCCATTCAGGCTGTATAATTAAACGTTGGTTTCTTTGTTACAGAAACAATCCCAATCCAGTTTAACCACTGCGCATTTAATAAAAAAGAATGAAAAGAAAAAAGGTTTGAATCCTGTCTCTGCCATATCATTGCCTATACAGTCGGTGCACCATAGGTCAGTGAATAGAAGTGCCCACTGACAAAAGCCTGAGGCCCGGAGGTTGCCTCACTTTCCACCCCCCCCTCCCTCTTCTTCTCTTCATAAACTGCACACTTTTTGTCTCGTTTCACAGCAAATTTCTGCCAACTTCAGTGTTCATTGTCAGCAAAGATGAGTGCAGAGTTTTGTTCTGAGAGGCATGATGCAACCGCGCTGTAACACCAAACAGATAATGCTGTTAGCTACAGAGGTCTTTTTAGTTCCTTTCTTTAAAAGATTTTCTTTTCATATTGTTAAGTTTCACTTTTTTTTAACTCCATGCATCCCAGAAGCTTTTTTTTTTCTCCCCCCCCCCACTTCTTGTTTCCCTTTTTCCCCCTCTGATTGCGTTCCTTCACATTTCTTCTTCTCTTTGTTAAGCAGCATCAAGGCCGCACGCCGGATGCGTTGAAACCATCACAGCATTGCCAACAAAAAGATTTGCATTCCTATGTTAACCTTGATCATCTGTTTAAAGCCGTCACTTTTTAACTTACTGTATGGCATCCATCATTTGAGAAGGAAAAAAGAAATAGGTTAAGAAATTTAGATAATAAGTGAATAAGATTTGGAAGGGAAAAAAGTTGCCTCAAAGGATTTTCTGAAGAGGAATGAATTTTTTGGAGGTTTTTCTTGAGCTTTTTTTTTTAAATTAAGACGAGTTATATTCAGACACAAAATCATCCTCCCTGCAACAAAGCTGCTGTGTGTCTGCAGGTTGAAAGCTGTCTTTCATCCCACCTGACAAGGTTAAACACAAACATAAAGAGTGTCGGCATCTCTGAAATTTGCAGGCAAGATCTTGCTTCGATTCTCACCCTCAGGAATTTTTTAAGAGTTCCTCGTTCTGGATTTTATCCTTCAGTCTTGCATGCATTTTTCAGATTTTTTTCTTTAGAAAATTTTGCACAGCAAGTGTTTATTTGTTCATTGGAAAGTAAGTTTGCACTTGTTTTCTGCAGTGCTTGGCTAGATTACCTTGAAATTACAGGTTTGTTGACGCGTGAAAACAACATACCAGGAGCATATTTACGGCCGAGGTGTATGTCACCGTCGCTCAGCCGGAATTTACAATTTCAATCGAATCCAAATTATGTATATTAAAGATTGTTTTTCCTCAAAGCTAGATGAGCAGAGAAGAGCCTGGAATGCGGCCTGCAAAGCCAAACCTGGTGGAATTTTCCACGCATACTTGGGTCAACTTCCTGCCAGTATGCCATCTGCTGGATGATGGGTCAGATTCCTCCGACAAAAGCAGGGATGAAAGAGTGAGCCGGTAAAACCATTGCTGCCATCATTAAATCTTTACAATCTCTGTCTGTATTTGCTCTGTTCTTTTACATGCTCCTAGGGCGGAGGGGGCGGGGGGGTGCCAAAGTGCACCACTTCTGAAGGCCCGGGAGCATAGGATTTCTGAAATTCGGGACAGCTTCTGCACAGGTTATATTCAAAGCTTTGCCAACGTATCTTGACGGAGGTGTTCGCTGCTTCACAAGACGCTGTGAAAAAGGGCTTTCAGATAGTAAACAAGTGGGTCTTATTACTCTGCACCACCCTCGATAAAGATCCAATAAGAACCATGTGCCTGAATCACTCCCCCCCCCCCGAACTTTCGCTGTTAAAACATCCACCAGTTAGTGTCAAGCTGTGGACGGCGATCGGCTGGCTGTGTAGTGGAAACCTTTCTGGAATAACAACATTTCTTCTCTTACTGACATAGAGTCACAGCAGAGGAAACTCCTCAAGGTTCCAGAGGTGGGTAAAGTACCAAAACAATTGTATTCAAGTGAAAGTAGAAATACTTCAACATAGTTTCTACTAGACTAAAAGTAAAAGTTGGCCTTCCAGAAATGCCTTAAGTGAAAAGCATTTGGTAAAGAGGTTAATCAAGGACTGAGTAACTGAATTTCTATTTAAGACTATGTAATCACACAGACCATAATATTAAGTTATGTGCAAATTCATTTTGTTTTAAAGGCTAAAAAAAAGTAACTCATACAAATAAAATATTGTTTGGAACCCTGAAAATAGGGATTCTCCGATAAATAAAATCTGGGCCGATATTGATATCCGATATTAATATCGGTGTGATGGCCGATAACGTAATATACCATATCTTTCTCTACCTTTTGGACACCATTAAAACCCAACCATATTGCTGACGTTAGATGTGTTTCCATCAAGGTTTGTGGATGCGCATTCATCTCAAAGTATTGCAATAAAAGAGCTTAATGGAAACAGCTAAACTCTTAATTTATTCAATTTCACAAAAAAAAGTTTGTACGATCACTAGAGCATTTTTTTTATCTTTTGAGAAAAAGTTTGTGTGCATAAGAGAAGATGGCAACACATTTCTTGAATTAGTTATAAGGTAGTGAATATTTAAGTCACATGATCAATCAGCTGTTTACATTGCTGGCGTCTCATTAGAATCGCGCTCTTCTATCTCTGCGTCTCTGGATGCTACATAACAGCACTAATGCTAGCTGATGTTATAAAGTTAGCACAAATAACCTGTTAAAACACCTTCATGAAAATCCCAATCCATTACTGATCTGTGGTTCATGCCAGCTTACTACCTGTACTTCCTGTTTAATACAGCCTATTGCAGAGGTCTTCAACAGGGAGTCCATAGAGGTACTGCATGGGTGTCACAAAAGTTTTGGTTGATTAGACTTTTTTTTTATTTTCCCCCTGAAATTTTTCCAACTAATTGAAATGTCTTTAAATCCACATCAACATGATTTCAACAGACTGTAGTAAACAGATAAATGGAGGCAGAAGATGTCTTTCAGTCATCAATGCACACATTCAGCGACACACAGGAGCTCTTTCAAGCTGGGCACCATTTCATTCACAACACCTGTCCCATCAACCAGGAATCAGAATCAGAAATACTTTAATAATCCCAGGGAGGAATTACTTTAGTTACATTCCTCCATCTGTAATAGAGTGACTGTAGGACCAGTTTGATATAACACAATTTCATATAATATATATATTTAGGGGGTCCCCGCTCCATCTTACCATCAGTTTGGGGGTCCTTGGCCTGGAAAACATTGAAGACCCCTGGCCTAATGTAATCCAAACATATGACTACTTTACACTCTGCGTTGCCTCGTTAATTCTCTCCAATGGATGGAAACACATCTAATCATTTTTTTATTATGATAAATTACATAAAAAAGTATATATTTATATAATTTTTAATGGAAATACGGCTATAGCTTCTCTTCTTTAGTTAAACACCCATAATCCGGAGTTACATCACAATCAGTGTTACATGACCGAACACATATCACTCTATTGTTCCCCTTCTGAAATAAAGACTAGATGGAAATTAATATCAGTTGTATTTTATCAGACCATTGCAATATGTTTAAAAATGGCCAATTTTAATATTAATGCCAATATAGTGTGTGTCTCTAGTTTTTTTTTTTTTAACATAAACCATGAAATTCTTACAGTATGTAATGTTTGTATGCTAGAACAGGATAAACTGGCTCCAGTTACAATGAAAAGAAAGCGTCACATTAAAACATCAAAATAAAAGTTCATTTTAGGTCAAAATGGGCTTTTTCTTTGTTTAGGTAAGTTACTCATTGTGGTAGAATAGACAAAATTTTATTCAAGTAAAAGTGGTGATAATTAATGAAAATATTAGATTTTTGTTTTTAAAAAGGTTTCTGAAGTAAATCTTCAGCAAGGGTGCGAATTCCTAACCTTAAAATAAATACTTGATAGAATACGAAAGATCTCCAAAACACTTACATGTATTTTAGTCCAAAACGTTGTTACAATATTTTCTTATGTATACTGGCTAATTCTTTCCTTACTTGGCACGTGCAGATTACCTCTATCAAGGATTACAGAGCTTTTGAAAAATTTGCTGATGAATACTCTTAAAATTTTCCTCCCCACAGCAATGACGGCCTGAAAGCCCTCTGACAAGATGCCAGAGAAACTGCCCACATGACAAACAGGTCATCTGCCTAAATAGAGGCTTCTTTTCTTGCTTACAAAAAACAAACCTGTCTTGTTGGAAATATTTCCAGAATATCTCGGGCAGTCGAGGTGGGGAAACTACAGGAGCACCACCCATCAGTTATATCAAGGAAAAACAGTTATAAAACTACATTTCTTCTAAAATACTAACCCATTAGGTAACTGTAAAGCAGCAGACTGCAGGCTAGCTCCCGGAGAAAATAAATGAAAAATACTACTATATATTTAATTGGTGTTTCACCAATATTTCTTGTGAAATATCACAATCCAAATGATAATAAATTAATACCATAGTCAGAATTTTAAATTTTTTTTATTTTCGCAGAACAGTATTTTTTAAATAAAGTAATTATATCAACTACAGATATCAAATACAATTTATATGCATGTATATTTGTGTGAATGGCATTAAATCATAGTGTTCTGCCTGGATATACTGTAAGTTAAGTTTTTTCACGCAGAAACTGGACCCACCGTTTGCATGAAACTTCAATTTCTCATTTACCATTCAAACTGTTTAGACAATACAGGTATCCTTTGGAGTGTATTTCCACGGAAGCAGTGGAAACTTCCACTGGCTTGAAGTTGATGGTGATGTAAACGGTTAGGACTCAAAGCTGCTGGACTGGTTTGAATTCTTTGTCTCTGCGCTGACTGTCAGGCTGTGTGCTGATATTCTCAGAGTCTGAAGAGATTTCCTCTCCACTCAGACGCTCTCCCGGCAGTCTGTTGACATCCCTCCACGTTTTCCCAGTTGCAGCTCCTCCCTTTTGCTCATTTTTCCCCCCCTCCTCATATCTACCCCCTGTGCTCGGTCATACTGTGGCCCAGTTTTGATTTCAGCCATATCAAATTCCCCCCCACATTACAAAGCTTCTGCTGCCAGGTCAGAGTGGCTGGCTGAGCCGAACGCCAGCTGCTGAGGCTGGTCCACGGGGCTGGTTAAACAGGAACTGCACACACCTAGCTCTAGGACACGGTTCAACAAAACAGCAACAGTGCACTCTGCTGCCTTTTCGTATTGCAAAAAAAACCTGAAATATGAATGCAATCCTGTGCAGAGCGCTGCTAATTTATTTTTCATCTGCATTCTTAATCACCTCATGCTCAGACTCAAGAGGTCAGCTCTACACTTTATCAAAAATATGAACCGTTTTTTTATTATTGCCCTCATGCTTCCTACAAGACTCCTGAGCATGAAACCTTCTCAACTGCCTGTGGTATGTAGGTGTATTTTCATGTCAGCTCCTTTGCTGGTTTCCTGCAGCCAAACGCAGTA